TAGACATATGCAGAACCTTTTTTCAACAAAAAATCATCAAACCTAGAACAAAACAGGAGAAAAGAGGCAACCCAAACCCTTCCAAAAACGCAACGAGTCTTCTTCAGTTACAACCCCAAAATCAAAAGATTTCTCTGTGAATTTCATCACTAGGTATGTGGGATTTCACTAGTGGATTCCTTTTGCCCATTAGGTCCCTAGAATTCAATCAGATTCTTGATTCCCTTATTATTAACTAGACCTAGGGTTTCTAGAACTTCAACAAATTATTATGAATTAGTTACTTAATGTTCCAAATCAGTTTATCTTGGCTTTTAGCATGTTCTAGTATAGATTCCTTCATAAATTAAGAACCCTACCAATGTAGTTCTGTAGTTCATGAATTACTCTTGCTAGGTCAGCTATTTCAGATAATTTAGATATTTCAAACATACATGCCTTAGTTTCGAATGTGTCATTATCAGTATATTAATGTTGCATTCTCAGATTTTGCATAGTAGTACTTTGAGCTATCCATACTATAGTATTTCAGTTATAATGTGTTAAATTGCTTAATCAATTGGGAGAAGCTTAATACCGAGTTGGACTAGGGTTAGTCACCCTTATAGTCCCAGAACTATGTGCCCCGTAGGTTGTGAGTCCCTTCTGTGAGCATCATTTTAGTAATCAAGCCAGTCATGCCTTTATACCTTTGGCAGGGTATATTGAGTCCTCACGACGGGGTATATACATCGGATTCCACATTTAGCTCATGTGGTTTTATGTCGGTTATTAGTAGCTCTCACAGTTCATTCAGTCTCTATTGCATTGACCATACTATCGATATAGTTCAGTTTCAGTCTTAGCACGTTATAAAATTAGTCATTGCATTAAGTTTAGTTCGCATTCAGTATATTCAGCAACCTTATCATGTTCAGATTATATCCTTTATTTATTGTTTCTTCACTTATATGTTTATTTCAGCTTTACTCTATCCTGCATGCTCAGTACCTTTCAACAATTGATGCGTACTCTACGCTACATCTTCTCGTAATGTAGGTTTAGGCCCTCAGCACTCAGATCACGGATAGATCGATTCTTGATCTCCAATTCAGCAGCATAAGTGGTGAGTCCTCATTCTTTGAGGATGATTGACATGTTACCTTTTCATTTGTAGTCTTTTAGTTTTAGTTTTGCTAGAGTTAGCTGGGACATGTCTCAGCATCTCTAGTCAGTTAGTGGCTTATTTCAGACATAGTTAGATTCAGCTTTAGCATTTTAGTTTGACCATTCAGTTGTTGTTAAACTCTCACATTTATATATTCAAATAGTTTATGGGTATTCCCCATCATTTCAATTTATCTCATGATTTAGCTTCCGCACAGTATTTATTTACTTCAGTTTATTTAATATGCTTATGATATGCCAGCAGGGTTAGCTTGGGGTCACTCCTGATCCTAGGTCCCGTGTCCACGTCCTGTGGGTAGCCTCAGGGCGTGACAGTTTTCTTAACTCGAAACTCGTGAAAGTCGCAATGAATAAACATAACATCTAAAAAGGCCAAAACAAGCTTGAGACCTATGAAAATTCAACAAAAACCTCCTCTAGGCCTAAAATCACCCCCCTAATCAACGGAACTGTCATAAATTTAATCTGAGCATCTAAACCCCATATCCATGAAAATACTATGAATCTGAAACCGACAACTCTTGTGGACAAATTTACATATTCTGGGACTATTGGAATTAACAGAAATCCATTTCGAGACCCGAAACTCTACAAGACACCAAAAATCATTTTAAGCAACTTAAGCCTTTTGAATTCAAAATATTTCATAGCTCTCAACCTTTTACTCAAAGTTTGAAACCAAATTCAAAATCCAATCAGAAATTACCCGGGGTCGATATCACAAGGGTAAAATGGTTATTTTACAAATATTCCAAAAATGACCTTCTAGGTCACTATACTTTGGTTGTCAAACTTTTGGAGAATAGTGGAATTGACGGCGCAACCTTCTTAACCTATAAGTTTCTTTATATTAAAGAAGAAAATATAAAAGAAAAGAAGGTTTCAAAAATCTAAGGATTCTCACATATTGATCATTTGCATTTCTCCTTTGGCCGTGTTGTTTTTGTTTTTAACGAAAAATAGTTCTTTTATTACATAAGGGTAGATCTAGGAGAAATGAGTGAAATAATTACGATATGGAGAATTGAACCGTCACCAATACGATGTTCAAAATTTAGGTATTCAACCTATTGACCTACTGACTTCTATTATGTAGTAAATAATAATATAGTTATCACTTTTTCCTATCATGCAACAAATGTAGAATAACAATCATGGAGAAACGTATCTGTAAGTGAGATAAGTTTTCCCTCATTTGGAATTGAACAATTATAACTAATGTGGTGACTTAGTAAAAGAAAGTAATGCTACCAACAGTGTAGTTATAAGTGATGTAGTAACTTATTGAATAAATCAATTGAAAGGAATAATTTCAGAAGGTATTTTAGGAAAATAATGGATCATACTTGAAACTTCGATGTCCAAAGTGAAAATGTGATGTAAAGAAAATGAAACATTTGAAATAAATAAGCTTACTAATAAATAACAAATGAGAAAAAAAAGCCCTCAATAGATTTCTAAATTTTAGATAATAACAGAGTACATAACTCTATGAGAATTGAGGTTTTTAACCACCTGGCCGTTTGAAGGAGCTTTATGAGACCATTTAAGGGTGGCCAAATTAACCAATCAAATCATGACCCGAGCTTTTGGAACTTCTATGGAAGTCAAATTTCAATTTCAAATCGCATAAATTATGTCGCAAAAGGCATAACAAGTTATCTCGTACTGTAAAACCTAATTCCTGCAGAACTCATGTTAAGTGAGGCAAAAGTTCAATTTCTAAAACAAGTTATCCCCTAAAAGGTATAATGAGTTATGTTGTACTGCATAAGTTAATTCCTACTAAAGCTTATGTTGAGTGATAAAAATATTTTTTGAACTTATGACTAGCGAACTGTGTCTTAAATATACTATACAACTTATGTTGCATAACTTAATTACTAAATAACTTATGTGGAGCGAGTTAAAAGTTCTCTTAACTTTTGTCTCGGTTTAATTAAATGTATTTTTGTTGAATCTGATTATAGGGTATTATCAAGTAGGTATGGCTCTCTATTAACATCCCAACAATCGTGCATCAAAGAATTGTTATCTCCATATCCAAGTTTAAGTCACAATGATAATCATTTTAAAGATTTTGCATCATTGCTCAAAACTTTCAACTTACTCGTGTTCACCGAGATGTATGACTTTTGTAGGATAACATTGTCACACCCTTTTTTGTCAGGTTTTTTCAATTAAAATAACGTTATTGAGAAGATATTATTTTATTTACCGAAATAGAGTCGTCACTTGGAATTGAGTTATGGTGTCCCAAGTCATCTTTTTGAATCTCTAATCAAAAGAAAATGACCCTTTGCATTGGATAAATGAAAACAATGGACTAGGTAAGGAATTCTACTGAATCATTAAAAGGTATGAGGCACTCCTGAATCACATAGTTCTAACACAGTCGCTTTTATCAACTTATAGTTGACATATATTAGTGTTGGACAAATCAAATCGTTAATTATGCCTACTTAAATTGTTCAATTTTATTAGTCTTAACTAAGATGCAAAGTTACAACCATGGCTTCAATATATATCGGTTAGAACACATAAACGTGACCTCGCCTTGTGTATCACATCCTAAATTTTAGCATATTCGTCTTGGTTAGACTAAAAGTTATTATGTTATTAAAAGTGTGTAGGTCAATATGCGTAAATGTTACCTTGTCATTTTATTTAAATTTCTTTATTTGGTACGCGAAGTTGCGACCTCATGCAAGGCGATATATTATATGTTCCCTCTTTACAACGTAATACTTATTGAAGCATTTATTCTACTATGTTGGGACAACTAATTTTTTCCCTTTTCTCTCATTCCTTTTATTGATTGCAACAGGCATTCAATTAAAAAAACTCATCTTACCTTTAATAACTTTATTAAGTAATTAATCCCTTAGATTTCTTTCTTGAGCCAAAATTTCTATTGTTGACGTATGCGTTCAATAAACTCAAAAGTCTAATGCTTTATTAACAGTAAACAAACTGATTACCATGACCCTATTTGCAAAAATAAGTAACCAAATGTTATAGTGAACTACTCCCAATTAATCCAAATAAAATAGTTCACTTTAAACTTCAAAGCAAGTAAGCAGCACATGACAAATTATTAGAAAAAATAGAAGCATGCCAACCCCGAATTAGATTTGTTTTTTTAAAAATGGATTGAATTAGTAAATAAGCAAAATACACTAATACCCATTCATATTATAAATATCACAAGAGTTTATAACCTCAGCTAATGGGTTTAGCTATTCATACTAGAAATGACAAATACAAGATAAAATATGTTGTGAAAATATCGTGGGTTATTAACTAGTACACAATCACAAGCAACTAAAATAGGAAAGAAAAATAACACAAGGAATTAACGAGGTTAGGCTAGACTAATCCTCCAAGCAAATGTAGATAGAGTTTTTGACTATGAAAAAAAAGAATAAGAAGTGTAAAATCCTGTAGAATCTTCAACTACATCCCCTATATATAGATCCCAAGTAGTCTCAAACCTATAAAGAAAAGGTTACCCTAATATTTAATGGACATTATATTTCATTTCCAAATTTATTAGAACAAAGCGTGTTCTAAACTAATAGGGATTCTGAATTTTCATGGAAAAAATCAAGACACAATTAACAAAATGTAATAACAAATATAATTAAAGATTAAACAAAGAAGAAGATGCAAACTTGCTAAGTCAAAATGACCACGCAAGTGTACGCAGTCATAAAAATATTATTGAATTTTTATTTCAGATATCATACCCACAAAGACTTGTCAATCAACTATTTACAAAATTAAACTAATTAATGTGCTGCCACAAGTGCCAAACTTTAGAAACACAAAATTTAACCAGGTTGGCGCACTGCTTGGCACACTGTGCGCCCTATCAAGGGCACTACTTGGCGCACTGCGTCAGGCCATTTTTGAGTGAAGTTTATTTCAAAGTCAAGTCCAAGATGATTACCTAAGATATAGATTATATGAACAGAAAAAAAAAACATAACAAATTCAATATTTTGCAACTGAAGTACTGGGCATTCCATATTTTCAATAGATCAATGTAGACCAAATAATGATTTAACATTTGAATATAAAGAAACAAGACTTAGTCTTAACGCCAATTAATTGTCTTAACTTCTAGATCCATCAATACAAACTAAAATATTCTTCAATGTTTGGTCAACAATCAACAATACTTATTGTCTTCAAAATCTGTCTGCATATAAACACACTGAAGGTGATAAAATTCATATCAAATAGCACCATATTATTTCTTGTTGGGATAGGAACCTTCTCCTTCATGGACAACGTGAACTTGTAAGTAAAGTCCTTTGATGTGTTTTTCTCTCACAAATTCACAAATACACATATCATTTTTCTCCACAAGGTTCACCTTACATAAACTGTGCCACCCGCCAATTAGCCATATTCTACCGTCCTGCCAAATCTTGAGTTTTGCCTCAAATTCTCTGCCAGCAGAGTCACGAATTGTCATGCTTGAAGGAAGTTCAAGTTGGTAATCTCTCACCATATCAGCCGGAACGTACTACAATTAGGAAAAAAGACTTTGTTAAATTAGAATATTATAAGATTGAACTATAAAACAATCACTAAAGTAATAGGTTAATAATTACCAGATGATTTCTCCTATCTGGACGTATTTTTGTTACAAAGTAAGGATTTTTTGGCTTAGTTGCACGTCCACTTCTAAATATATCTGTAGCAAATTGGTCGTGGGGATTATTCACCTTACCAGCAGTCATACTTTTGCATTTAGCTGAATCAAAAAAATGTTAACGGGTCAAGTTAACAAATAGATAACATGGATACTAAGAGTTACTCTATATATTTTATTCTACAAGATCGTCTTTTAATGAACGTGGACTTTAAGAAAGAAATCAGAATTTTGACACATATCAAAAGTATTAGAAAATGATATTTAACTTGATTATTCATTGTTATTCAAAAAGCTAAAATAAAAAAGTTCCCTTAGCAGACTCATTTTGTCAGAGGACCAAACAACTAAACCTTTTCAAAAATCATTTTAAATGTGTATCCTAAAATATATAATGACACTAACATGAATACAAGATCATATATAAATATTCATAGATGTCACTTTTGTAGTAACATACTAACAAGAGAGGAATTGAATTGCATATAAAATAAAATAGAAGAGTAGATTTAAAGATCTTTAATTTTTGCTTACCTTTGGAACGTGGTGCTGTTATGTTGAATATGTCAGTCCTTTCTTTCTCTTCCTCCTCTTCTTTGTATTCATCATCATCATCATCTTCTGGAACCTCTTTTGCCTTTTCACATTCCTTTTCTTCATCATCTTTTTCTCCTGCCATGTTATTCCCATCCCTAACATTAGAAGAAGAAATATTCTTGCTATCTCTAGCCCTAGTATTCACTTTTGGCTCCACACTCTTTTGATGTTTAACATTTATTTCCTCTGCTTCCTCCTTCTTCACAACATGTTTTAAACCCCCATCTCCTTTCTTTACACATCCATTTCTTCCAAGTAGTTTGAAGTCAAAAATTCTAGTTCCATCATAGTCAAAAATAAAGAAGTCTCCAAGCTCTACGATGTTGTCCTTGATGAATTTTTCCCATCCATATTCAAAATAAATATCTTTTCCTGATTTGGTTACTCCTATACGCCACATATTTTCAAACTGATCCCTAAGGAAAATGTTTCTTGGTAATATTCCATTTTTGTAATCGGTATAACCTGTGGGAAGTTTCTGCAAAGAAAAAAAGTTTGACTTTTGAAAAAATAAATATAAAAGAACATTAATCTTTAAATCACATTAATCATATCATAAAAATAAAACAAGTTGCAGATTAAAAAATATTTCAAATAAACTCAAAGTTTGAAACTTTTGATGTTAGAATTCAAGAATGTTACTATTTTACAAACTATAAAATGAAATGTAAGGCATTTTCATAGTTTTACCATAAAATTACTTCCTTCAACACTAATAATATTGTTAGTTTGAAATGAAATATGCAATTTCTAACATTGATTGACTAAATTAAACATAATACTAATAAAAAGTAGGGATTTAGCATCTATAGAAAACCGTATAAGATTTATTTGCATCACAAAAAGGCATCTATCCACCTTTTACTTTTCCTCCCCTAATTAAAAGCACATATATCCAAAAACTATTAATTGAAAATATTTTAAGAAAAAGAGTCAACAACAATCATAGATTAAATACATGAATATAAGAACACAAAAAGAAGATGAAAGTGAAAGTACAATTAAAAAAATATAAAATAACACGAGGTATCCAAGTTTTACAGATCTAACTCTCAACAAAGCCTTCCCCTCCCATATATATATCCGCTACTTGCATCTCTAAAAAAAAGAAGAGAAAATTTAAGAAAAAAAGTTCCATCAAAGAACATGAGAGGGGGGAGTACACTTACCAGTCGCTTTGCACTGATTTCAGGGATGAAAACCTTGAAGAAGCCCTTTTCCATGTTCTTTTTTATTGTTAAGGTTTAGGAGGATAGCATAATTGCGGCGCAACCTCTTAACCCTAAAAGAGAAAATGATTGCAAATAATGAGAAGTTTAGCATATATTAATATTAAGCCTATTAAGTGGGTCGCATCAGGTCAGACCGGCCCATTAAAAAATTACATTGATCTCCGGCCTCGAGCTAGGCTAGATTAGCTATAACTGGGTCGGTACCGTTTGGGCTCAACAATGCAAAACTTATGTATGGCTCAATCCACAACCCGCTAGCCCAATTCTTGGGCCAACTGTGCCAGGTTCCAATGGGCTTTATGGACCGAGTCACTATACAAATTTTTTTTATCAATGTTTATTAATTTGAAAGTTTTATTCAATTATTAATATAGTGTATTGTTAACAATTTAATTTTGAAATAATTATAACTGTTTGTAATGATAAAATACATATATATATATGTGTGTGTGTACTTACAATGTGTACCAAACACTCCCAGAATATACTATTTATTATTATTATAATAACATATATATATACTTACAATGTACACTAAATATACACACAATATACTATATATCATTTTAGAATATTTATATTATACTATATATACACACTTATAATGGATACCAAATATACACACAATATATATACAAGATATAAAAGTTACAATATATAAAATACAACTTACAACTTACAAGATTAAAAAATAATAGTATTTTGAAATTTTATGTGTCAATACTTGTTTAAGTAATATTTGCTAACATTATTTTTTCAACTATTGACTCTTATAGTGATTGCATATTTAAATTTCAATATATTCTTATGTAAAATAATTCAAATTATTTCATTGAAGCTATACAAATTTTATTAAAAATAATTAAGGAAATGCAAAGACTCAATACTTCTTCCTTTTCTTCTTCTCTTCTTCCTCCTCTTCCTCTTCTTCCTCTCCTCTTCCCTTCTTCCTCCTTTGTCTCCTCTTCTTCCTCTTCCTCTTCCTCTTCCTCTTCCTCTTCCTCTTCTTCTTCTTCTCTTCTTCTTCTTCTTCCTCTTCTTCTTCTTCTTCCTCTTCTTCTTCTTCATCTTCTTTCTATTCTTCTTCCTCCTACTCCTCCTCCTCCTCCTCCCCCTCCTCCTCTTCTACTTCTTCTTTTTCTTCCTCTTTTTCCTCTTCTTGTATGAAGGTCTGAAAAATAGGAGAATATTCACCTTTCAAGATTATTAAAAGCTAGAGCACGGGGTTCATATATCTCTGATGAACTGTTGAAAGCTATTGAAGAGTCTGAAGTTACCCTCGTTGTTTTCTCAAAGACTTATGCTATGTCAAGGCGGTGCTTGGATGAAAAAGTAAAGAATATGGATTGCAAGACTCAATATGGACAAACAGTCATATCGGTCTTCTATGATTTGGATCCATCAAAAGTTCAGAACCAAAAGGAAAGCTTACGAAAGCCTTTGCCAAACACGAATTAATGTATAAAGATGATGTTGATAGTGCTTGTTTCCTTGCGGATACTTAAGAAAATAAAGAAATGCACTCTCTGTAAAATATCCTTCTCTCTGAACTTCTAAAGAAAAAATAATAATACATGAATAATTAGGAGGACGGGAAGCACTTGATGGCTCGTAGACACTACAAGAAAATGTACTTTAAGCTACAAAATACATTGTAGCTAAATATAAATTTTTCCGTAGCTAAGCACTTTAGCTACATTATTTTGTTTCGTAGCATGCGTAGCAAGATGTAGCGTGTCTAATAGTTAGCTACAAACTTTACATGGTCCGTAACTAAGATTTTATACTTATAACTACAAAATAAAATTGTTTATAGCTGCAATGGATACAAACTTCTGCCACGAAAATATACTTATAGCAAATTATTTTATTCTTGTGCCACGATAAATAAAATTTGTATCTGTCTTTATAAAGTAGCCATAAGGGGTTGTATTGTAGCAAAAGATTCAATTTATTTGCCACATATATTTAAACTTTGTGGCTAGTTCTATAACTGATCTCGTGGCAATAATACTTATATTTAGTTATGAATCAAAAAATTCATAGCTATAACTCAATGTATTTGCCACAAATTTTTTCATATTGTAACTAACAATTCATATATCTAGCCATGAAATATCAGCGTTGAAGCTTAAGAAAAACTATTTGCTATAAAAAGTAATTTTTTAGCCATGTTCTCTATACGTGGCAATTATAGGAGTATAGATATAGCTACAAATTTAAAATTTCATAACTAAAATTTCACACTTCATTGTCACAACATATAAATTGTAGCTAAAAAAATCTTCATTTTTTAACAAGATATTTTTGTGGCAATTATATATTCTTCACAAGATATTTTTGAGGAAATTATATATGTTTTTCAACCTAATAAAAAAAATTCATAGCTACAAATTCATACAATGTAGTTTCTATTTAACATGAAATTTATATTAAAAATGTGCGAAATATATTGAATTGTATAATAAATACAATACATGGAGAAAAATACTTAATAATGATTCAACAATGTCATTCAAAATAGTGAAACATCATTTTATTCAAACATATAAATATTCTTTTACAAGACATAATAGCTATTTTTGTCCCGTCAATTTTGATGCTCTCATCACTTCTTCATAAGCTGCAAAAACAGTTAAATATTACATAAGAAAATGACATAATAAAATATTTAATTTAATTATTAATATGATTTTTAAAAATAACCATCATAATTATAGCTAATTTCTATCTCATCCTGAGTGCCCATGCTTCCTACGAAATTATTAAACACGAGTTAGCTATATATATGATTTTGTAAATTTCTCTAATTGAAATAATAATAAAAATTTAATATTGCAAAAGTTATATTACCCTGATAAACAAGTTCCTCAACGTGTTGTTTGGGGAGATTTTCTTTGATCGACGTCGTTTTAGAACTCTTACGAAGTTCCACAAGTTTCACATCATCATTATCAATCAAGCAATTATTTTTTTTCCGAAGACCATTCCTGCCCATATCTTATTGCAAACAAGTATTTGTAAGATATAAAAATGTATTTAATAATCAATTTTGAAAAAAATTATAAAAACAAAAAAACATGTAACTCAAAATCAATACATGGATACATATTTAATAAAATAAAGAATTCATGTATAAACAATACAATCAACCAAGAGTAACTGTATTGCTAATATATCGTTTCATTGATTAAAAAATTATATACAAAAAATTAAAAAAGTGAAAAAGATAAATTCAAAAATTGACAGAAATTAAAAAAAAAAAAGGAGAAGAAGAAGAACGTACTTGTTTTTAGATGTTACTGCAAAATGTTAGAACACCAAAAGATGAAATTAGAATATGTATTAAAATAAAGAGAATTAGTGATGTTAGGGTGATTTTACTTCCTTTTGGGTGCTAGTTTTATTACGTTTTGGCTTATTAAAATAGGAAAAGAAAGAGCTAATTTAGGCATAAAATAATGAGAGGGAAAAAGTTTGGAGGGAAATATTTTTACTTCTATTTTGATTTTTGTGTATTCGTGGATTTCCCTCCTAATAACTAGAATAATAATAAAAAGTTTCATCACTTATTTAATTAATGTTATTTAAAATCTAAAATTGATATGTAGATTTTTTTAATTAGCTAGGACCTTATCATATCCAAAGCTCTTTTTCTCTTAGAGAAGAGAACTTTGTTGTCAATTCAATGATAAATATGATTAATGAGATTTTTCTATTTAGTTACAATATTTGTTTGTCATTAAATTTTTATTTTTTTAGTAGTGTTTAGTGTGCGTTTGATCATATTTTATTGTAAAATTTGAAAAAATCATAGGTTTTATTTTTAAAGTGAATAAATATTTTGTGTTGGTCAAAGTGAATTTTTTTCCTCTTTAGAACAGAATGACTCGCCCAAAAATTGGTCGAAGAAGGAAAAAAAAAGTGAAAACACCTTATTTGTTGTTTTTTTTGAAAATTCTAAAATTCAACTTCAAGTTAGATTCCAAAATTTTATGATCAAATATGTTTTTCAGAGTTCAACTACCAAAAAGTGAATAAATTGCATGGCCAATCGCTCATACATATTGAAAATACAAAGATAAGAATTATCTATGTTATTAATGCAATAATACCTTATATTTGAAAGGGAAAAGGGTCTAAAAAATACTCCAACTTTTGGCCGAATATGCTGTTAAGAAACCAGACTTTATGGAGGACATTTTACCCCCCTCCACCATTTAATAGTGTATTTTAAAGATATATATGTGCTCATGTGGATTTCCACGTGGACACATTATTATTTATAATTATGCACTATTTATGATTTCCATGTGAGTACATATATACCTTTAAAATACACTATTAAATAGTGGGGTAAAAGGTCTTTTCCAAAGTTCGGTATTGTTACAGCAAATTCGGTCAAAGTTCAGATATTTCAAACCTTTTTCCCTAGTTGAAACTTACAAATATAGTTATCTGTAAAACTGAATTAAATTGAACAATGAGCACCTATTACTACACCAAAATATGTTGTTTTGATACAATAAGTTCGAATCAATAACAATTCGCAAAGCACTAGTCAAGATGAAGTTTGTGGTGGTAATTAGTGAAGTTGATAATATTTAAATTTGATATAATTAATCGATCAAAATCAATTGAGCATAACTCCTATTTATTTTAAATATATTTAAAAATATATATATTAAGATCTTGTAAGATAGAATGTATAACATCTCTAATTCAATTAGTTATATAAATGTATTGTTCGATAGAAGAGGTTTGGAAAAAAAACATGTAGCACCCCAAGATTTACATTTCACCTCGTATCAGATAAAATGTCTCACCTTAACTGTGCTCACACTTTTTAAATAATCAATAATAAATAATATTGTAGTTATCTTTTTTGTCAATTGATAAATTATTTAATTAATTTGATAATTATGAAATTTGAACAAAAGAAAATTACATATATTATTTCCTTTGGTTTTTTTACCTATTCAATTTGGACG